ACAAATTATAATAATTTTATAGTTTATTATTTATATATATCCTAAATAATATATAATACATTTTGTAATATACAAAAATATATTAAATAATAAATATTGTTCTTGTTATTATTTTTATTAGACTAATAAGAGTATCGTTTGATATAATAAACATCCAGAAGCAAGTAGGACTGCGTTATAATTTTAATAAAGCTCAGATAAATTTAGATTATAGCGAGTGAAGCGACATATATGAAAGAGAGAAAGAAACAGAAACAGAAACAGAAAGAGAGAGAGAGAGAGAGAGAGAGAGAGAGAACGTAGATACGTCAACATACTTAAATTAGTTCGAGATTACTCTTCGACTCGGGGGGAGTAAAATTAGCACGATAAATCTATCCTATTCTCAACGAGCACTGCACGTCTTTGCCCAACTTCAACGTCAACGGATTCGTCCTACCCCTCTACCCCTCCCATCGGACTAATCAATTAAACGTTATTTTTCGAATGATTAACAAAGCTTCTTCTGATTGTACATTCTATTTGTTTTGTTATATTTCGTATTATCTGAAGCAACGTAAACACGATTATTGAAACCCCCCTTTCCCCCCACTGCTCGTTATTCTAATTGATTAACTTCTGAGAATTTTTTATGCAACTTTTGGTATACACACACAATTTTTCAGATTAAGATGTAATTGAAATTTAATTTTTTTTTTCTCTGTTTAGAATTAAGATTAATAGTTGTTTGTAAATGATAATATTTGTATGCGTAATTTTTTGTAAATTCATCCTCAGTTTTTCGTTTATATTTAGTTAATTAATTTGGGAACTTAATAAATTTAATATTAATAATATTATTTAATATTAAATAAATGATTTGTTATTTTATTTTTTAATTCTCGGATTAATATTAACTAATAATTGATAATAATTTTGTATATTTTCTAGATTGTTTAGTTAATTAATTTGATAATCTAAAAACTTGTGTATTATATACTTACGACTTAATTCAAATTAAATGTGAACATCAATAAATTTATTAATAGTTAACATTTGACACTATTTAATAATTGACCAGAATTTTGAATGATTTTAATAAATAAATAAAGTGTACAATAATTTTGTATATTTTTCCCATATATTGTTTAATACACCTAATCAATTTCATACTTTGAACGACTCATACGTTTAATTATACATTGACAAATATATTTATTAATTAACAATTAATAAAAAAAAATTGCTACACACGACATAACGATTATTATACTTTAATCGTATTCAACAAAAATAATTATAAACATTTAATAATAAATTTTATACGCGCAAATGTTTAAAAAATTTCCTAAATTTTTACACGATCGAAGTTTATTATTTTGATAATAGAAAACAGTGTTATAAATAACAAATAAAATAAATATCAAATCACAAATTCTAACCTAACCGATACGATTAATCCTAATGCAAATCTTACTTCAACTTCTTTTTTGGAAAAAAAATGAGAGATGTAAAAAAAAAAAAAACGATCTTCACCTAAAATTATTGTATCGAATAACGAGTTAAATAACAATTATACCAATGTAATATTAAAAATATTCATCTCAATTACGTATATATTAAATCTCACGTTAATTGATTAGTATGTTAAAACGATAATCCAAATTATATTTAAATAAAAAAAATAATGTTAAGTTATACAAGTATGATTTCAAATTCTAAGAAGAGCATAACGAAAATGATACTTCAATGAAATCGATATATTACGAACTATGAATTAAATTATTATTATTATTATTATTATTATTATTATTAATATACGTTAAGATATTATAAGTTATGGTCGTTAAGTTTCACGAGATGCGAAGACAACGTTCAGTATGCGACGGCCGTCGGTTAAGTTTCTGAAGTATAGACAGGTGCAACTAATCGATCCAACGATCGATTTCACATTATCCGATCAATTCGATCATAAATCTCATAAAATCTTTCTTCATTATATTTTTTTTTTCCTTTTCAATTTTATTTTTTAATATTATCCACTCTCTCAGCGCGCGTTACGTTTGTTTTATTTTTTATTATTATTATCGAAATCGTTTTATTTTAATTTTATTTGAGTGACATCAATAGATATTATCACACTTTTCCTATAATTCATTATAGATCATTTTATTATTTTTTTTTTCTACTCTATAATCGCGGTTATTTGAAATATTTTTCTGACCAATTTTCATTTTCTTCTTTCGTTCTGTTATTTTATGCCGTTTATATATTTTACCTAATTTTTCTTTTCTTTTTTATTATTATTATTATTGCTAAAGAGTTTTTTGTGACAACGAAAGCCACATTTTTGAATATTGTATTACACAGTTAGTTTTTCGATCTTTTTACGAATAACATAGACAATTTTTCTTACGAATTTTTACATTGCACCGATTTAATAATTTATTTTGAACAATCGTATTATCTAACAATACGTTTTAGATCATTTACATCGTTCGCAATTATTAATCATAACGAATTCTAATTTTTGTTCTAAATTCGATGAAATTTGTTTTAAAAAAATTGCACACATATTATGATAACAATTAATTTAAATTACATCGTGTAGATTGCGCGTATTTTTATTTTCAGCGTAATACATATTGCAAATTATTTTTATTATTTTCGATCGATGCGATCAAATATCTAAAAGTTATCTTACGAATTATATCGAATACATTTAAGACAATAAATGCATTATATCTGTTATCAATTATTATCATTGAAATTTTCGGATGATCTAAAAGATCAAATTTTCACGAACGATCTATAAATTATAGATCATTTTCAGAATATCCTATCAATACGATCATACGTAAATCCGAATATTTGTCCTTAATTTTATTAACTTTTTTTTAACAAACTATACATAACAACCATTATTAATAGAATTGCTTTGTAGATCCGAATAATTATCTTAAATTTAATCAATTGCATATTTACGCACTACACTTATTATCAATAAATACGATTGATACGAATAACCAATCAGGCTCATATTTTCTTTCATTTTCAAATTCCTCGATCATCATAATCATAAATCCTAATTCCCCCATGAAAATGATATCAACCATAGTTTACACATTTAACCTGTCAATTACTAGAAATTAATGTCATATCTTCTAATAACAACCAATAGATCAATCTTAGATTATTCAATCACCATGATCAAAATTCCTAACATGTCTCCGAAATATCAATCTATTGTATATTTTTCACACTGTGCATAAAAACGAATACCATTGACACGATTCGCATAAATAATACATCGGAGATAAATAACACTCTTTCAACAAACCCACCCCGAACGGAATATCATATAAATTTTGTTTTGTTTATAGAAAAAAAACAAAAAACAAAAAACAAAAAAAAAACAAAAAATAAAAAAATATCAATAAAGATAGAAACAACAACATACCTGGGAAGCCGACGGATAGGAATATCCGAATTGAGCGTAGGCCGACATATCTTGATCGAATGTATCAACAAACTCGTTCCTTCCTCGTAGATCTGTTCTAACGGAACGATAAACGAGGGAGGGTTAGGAGGAGGGAGCGGGGAGGGAGGAGGGGTGGTTTAAAAAAAATATTCGCAACACAATAGCACAAATAGTGCTGATCACTCGCGCAGTGCACTAAAACACTCGATCACTAAAGGTCTCTAGGCTCGTTTTCTTCTTTTTGGTTGTTTTGGTGGTCGTCTTCTTGATTGTTGTTGTTGTCGTTGTCGTTGTTGTTTTTGTTGTTATCGTTGTCCTCGTGGCGTGACGAATTTGTAACGAGGATAATGATGGTCTAGCCATCAGGGCGTCTTGCCGTTAGGCTCTAAAGGGTCCCCTGATGAAAGCATACTCTGTTTGTCTCTTTCTAATCTGACGTTTTATTTTATTGCACTAAACGATATTTATTTATTTATTTTTTTTCTTTTTTTTTTTTTTATTTATCTTTATAGATTCGATAAGTATTTTCGGATATACAAACACGTAGTGTATATCAATTTCTTCTTATTTTAAATACCAATCGTATTATAACGAACAGTAACTCGATCAAACGATGTCTTTGAAGATAATGATGATGATAATAATAATAATAATGAAGATGTTGTTGATGACAATGACGATGATGATGACGATGAAGATGTTGATGTTGATGACAATATTATTATTATTATAATGAATAATAATAATAAAAAGAATAAAATGAACTCGTGGCACGAACTACGTAGAGTTTCACGTGATATTAATGTAGAATAAAATAAATATCGCGTCGCGTAGAAACAGCAACAGCAATAGCAGCAGCAGCAACAGCAGAAGAAAGACCGAAAACGCGTGTCCGATACGTGCGATACGATAATAATAAGAATAACGAGAGAAAGTACGGACGACGGGACGGACATTCGGACAGACTTAGAATGCTTTGGGCTTTGCGAGAGAACACGAGCGATTGGTTATGCCAGTTGGTGTCGGTGGTCCGTCCCCTGCTCTCACAGGGCACTCCAGTCTGCGACTGACTCGCGAGCACTCACACCACTTCAGCGACCTTCTTCCGTGCCACTCCGCACCGTCCCGGTTCCCCCTCTGGCGAGGAAAACCGAAAGCACCTTACCCCCACCACTCGCTTGGTTATCGCCTACCGAACGAGCTACAACCAATCAGGATCTCTGATAGTACGCTGACGTATCTGATGGGCGTGTCGCATTAACTATAGTGTGAGTTCTCATTGGTTTAGGGGTTGTACAAGTGTAACGCCCATTTACAATACCAACGCCCATTTTCTTTCCTGCCCCACCTCGAAACTCCTATGAAACCTAACGTTGAACGAGCTACCACCACTAAACAACTACCACCACCACGAGTATTTCCACCACCACCACCATCAATATTACCACCACTACTTCTCTTTTGCTCCGACTCTGGTCTGGTTCGGTCTGGGCTGGTCTGGTCTGGTCTGGTCTTCTGTTGCTGTTACTACCGTTCCTATTGCTGCTGTTGCTGATATTGTTGTGTCCTCTTCTTTTACTTTTCCTACTCTTTCTCTCTCTTTCTCTCTTGACCCCTTCTATTGGTAGTACTTATACTTCTCCTCAGCAACCCTCGAGTACTTACTCGAACGTACTTGGGACAAACAGCCACGGTTGAACAAGGAGAAACGAGTGTGTTTACGCGAGTCCTACTCTTGTCAAGCCGACGGGCCAAAGGGACTTAAATAAATCTCCAATCCCTCCCCTCCATTTACCTTATTCACCCCTCCCCCTTCTCCTACTCCTCTCTCTCAGTCTCTTTTTGCTCTACAACAAAGCCACCTTCTTCCGGCTAATATCCTACTACTATTGTTCAACTATGAACCTGTCACTTCCTCTATTTCTCTTTTTTTCTTCTTCTCTACCTATTTTCTTGCTTCGTCTATCGTGAAATCTTTAACGAGGGACATTCGATTTAACATCAAACTTATTCTCTATTCGCCTAATTTCATTTTCATCAATTATTTTTAATCAATTACCCTAGAATGTTTGTTTAATTGATTTAAATCAATCACTTGTTGCAATTTCACATATTCCGTAATATATTTCGAAATTTTTGAATAACTTTGCGTAGTATATATTAAATATCTAAGAAACTGAATTATTGATTAGAAATAAAACACCGTGTTTCGTAATTTTAGGTTATAATTCTTGTCGAATTTCTTTATACGATTTTATCAAGGTCATCTTATTTTTCTGTTTCAACGATCCGAATTATTTTTACGAATTTGATCAATATCAATCGTATCAAACCGTTGTATCATTTTTTTCTTACACTTATCTCTCAACGAACACGTAATTTTACATTTTTTACATCCTTTTTCTTATTTCTTCGTTTCGTTTATCGTGAAATTTGTAACCAACAATATTCAAGCAACAATATACGAAACTATTTTTCTACCTGCCCTTCTGGGTCTTTTCCTTCTTCATCTTCTTCTTCTTCTTCTTCTTTACTTTGACCAAACGATCAAAAGTCTAAACTGAGAACAGAATTTTACTTGAAAATATAATAACGATCAAGATTATAAATTTTTTTTTCCATTGCAGATTAATTTTTTTGCAAAAACATTCTCATTCGAGGTTGAACGATATTAACTTATGAATGATCGCTGTGAAACTAGGGTATAATCGTTTAGTTCGGACGAATGAACATCCTAACTGACGACTCAACCATACTTATTTCATATTAGCTAAAAAGGTAATTCTTCTAGCTCGCTGATTCTTCTCGTTTTAAAAGATTACCTCTCTTTCTCTCTCTCTCTCTCTCTCTCTCACTCTCTTTTCCTTTATTTCTATCCTTTCTTAACCACTTGGAATAATTTCACGGATCATTAACTCTTTACCCCAACCTTTTTCTTCCTCCCTCCCACCCTTCCAACCCTTCCTTCCTTCCTACTTTCTCTTGTTTCCCCCACCCCTCTCTCTCTCTTTCTCTCTTATATTTTCTAACATTTTAGAAATGATTCATCCATTCTTAAAAAAATTTTAATCTTTCGGATTAGTTATCAGATTAAATATGATTGACAGAATAACATTGTAGACATTTTTTTTGATTTATTGTAAATTGTAACGACATTGATGTCGATTCCAAAGACATCAATGGATGTTAAATATTATTATTAGAGAAAGTATTCGAACGGTGTGTATGTGGTTTGGATTAAAAGGAAGAAAACATAAATATTGTTTATTGAATAAAACGGATGATTTATTCTAAAAGTTTTATTTTTAAGTATTTTTTACGTTAAAGGCACACGAAATCGGTTTGTTATGTAAAAGAATGACATGAAAGGTCTTCTAAGTTCTTTGAGAGAATAAAAATGCTTAGACGTTTCTCCATTTTTTCCCTTCACTCCACCCTTTCTTCTCTTTCTCTTTTTATTTCTTTACGCAGAGAATTCTTGAAGCCGGGGATGATCGCTATTATTTTCTTATTTCTTTCGAATCTTTTTCTTTTCTTTTCTTTTCTTTTCTTTTTTATTTTTTTTTTGAATGATTTATTACCATAAGGACGGAATACAATGATGACTACATAGGTGGGGACTGCATACCGTGCATATTTTTTTTTTCTCCTCTTGTATGAACATCATAATAGCATGATTTTTTTCGTAACGTTAACTTAGCCCCGCCTACTCCCATAATCCATTGACAAGATCCTTGTTAACTTTATCCATTTCTTTTGGAATATTTTCCTTTCCTTTTTTTTCACCTTTTTTTTTCTTTTATTATAATAATGAGTAAGGGAAGAAGTTGAGTTCTGTAAACCGCACAATAACCATTTTTGTCAAACTGTTTCCATGTTCGGGACATGTTTATTTGTGGTATCCTGTTGAGATCCCCTAAACCTTCGTCACTTTCATTCATAGTTAAGATTTCAAAGTGTCGAAATATAAATACAGCGGAGCAGTTATAGCATGCTTTCGCATTCTTTACTAAATTAAGTGAAAAAAACATTCCATGCACCTGTACCCTTTCTCTACTACGAGAGATTATAGTTGTTTCATATAAAATGCAACGTATTTTATATACGACGAACGTATGCAATTATGGCACATCAAATATCCTACTTTGGACGTGTATTTTTTAATATTTTGTTCGAATAAAAAAAAAAAACAAAATAAATCAATTATCAACAAGAAAAGGGCTCAATAATTTGTCACGTTCAGCGTACAGTTTTCATTTATTATCTAATTCGAAATTTTTTTGATCAAATAACATATAAAAAATTTAATATTTTAATTTCAAATGTGATGATTATATATTATTCATAAATAATTATTTCATTTCGTTATTATTTTTTTTTTAAATATTATATTTTTATAAGGATTTGTGTAAAAGAGAAAAAACATAAACATATCGAGAAGATATAAAATTTAGGAATGTGTTTAAATATACCAAAAATTGTAAACGTCAATTTACGTTGAAATCCCTGTTGTCATTTTTTAAATCGTCCATGTTTAAACTGACAGAAAACTTTAGAGACATTCTAAACCCAATGGAATAAAACGTGAAGATTGAACGATAGATTCGGATTAGTAGAATGAAAACATCTTTTGTTGCTTCATTTCTAACATTTTTAAGCATGTTTTTAGGTATACCATAGCGAGTTAGTGAGTCACAATACTTAAAAATGAAAGAATAAGATGAAAAATGTAGGAAATGAATTTCGTATATATCTTGTAGGTGTATTGTCAAAAACATTGCTTATTATTACTAACAATTGCACCACAACTATGAAATTCATTATTTATCCAAATTCTAAAGAATTTGGATAAATAATGTTAAGTACAGTATGGTAAGTTAGTTAAATGATTTGAGAATGATAAAATGGGATGTAAAATATAAAAAAAAATAATAAATTCAATATTCACTAAACTAAAAGACAAGGTTGATAAACTAGAACAATCTAATCTAGTCTATAAAATACCTTGTGTATGTGACAAATGCTACATKGGACMAACWAAACWAAAATTMAAGAAAAGACTAGAACAACATAAAAATGATTGCAAATCTATAAATGCTCAAAAAAGTAATATTACTGCGTTAGCCGAACATCATTTTGTAACAGGACACAAAT